ACACTGGTCAAAATTGATGCTATCGGGTACATATCGGGTACCTATATATCAGTGACTAATCAGATACATATCGGACATTTATTACATATCGGGTACCCGATATGTAACATATCAAATATGCCTAAAAATCGGATTTCCGATATCTAAACGATTAGTCACTGATATGTAACACTGAATCAATCTTACACATATCGGGTACTGATATGCAAAATATTTATTTATTGTATTTGTATTATATAATTCAAAGAGGTATATTAAAATTATTACTAAAAAAAGTATTTTAATATTAAAGATAATCGTTTATTCATATAAAACCCCTTATTTTCAATTTTTTTTTATTTTTTCTGATATCACGAATAACTGACGAAAATATTAAAAATATACATATTTTATTTTAAAATTAATTGGATTGAATGTTCAAATTAATCATCTTACATACAACTTTATTTTAATCAATTCGTATAAATGCCAATTGATAAGAATAACCTAATAAAAGTATTTAATCATAATATTTAATTATTTTTATGTTTTTTTACCCCCCTTTTTTTGCTTTTTTTATTTTTTTTATTTTTTGTTTTTTTATTTTCATATTCATCGTTATGATATTCGTCACTTTCTTCATCTTGATTAGTATTATAATCATATGTTGGAATTTCATTTGTTGAACGATTAAATCTTTTAAGAGCCTCATCGGTCAGACACCAATTTGGTGTATCCACTGGAGGCATACTTGTTGTTGTTTTACATCTTTGAACTCTTTTAATTTTTAGAATTTGAGGTTTTTTCCTCAGTTTTTCAACGGTCAGATCAATCCGATCATATAATAAACGCTGAAGCTTTAATAAATAATTACTATTAATAAATAAAATAAAAAAAATAATCATAAATATATAGTACATACTGCAGAAGAACGCCACCATGTTTTATATATATGAATTGACATTGTCTTTTCTTTAACAGCAGATTCTTTACCAATTATATCATTTTCTTCATCAAAATTGGTTTCCTCCCACTCCTCTGAATGATAACCAGATTCCTTAAGAATTCGTACAAGCTCCTTCTCTGGGTATCTACGAATGTATTTATCATTATTTTCTATTAAATAGTTTGCCGCTTGAGCTCTTCTTTTTTTTTTCTATAATAATAAATAATTATAAAATTAAATAAAATTAACTAAATTCCCACTTCATATTAATAAAATGGTTACTAACGCCCATAGTTCTTGAATTCTTCTTTAATCTCCTCCTATCCATTTTCACTTTGTCGTCTCCTTGCTTCTTTATATTGCTTACACGATGGCATAAACGCCAACATCCATGTAATATCTTTAAGATGTCACTATTCGAAACATTATACTTTTTGTTGACTAACTTATAAAGCAGTGGAAGAAATTTTGTAATTATATTTTCTTTTTGCTCAAGCCACGTACGATCACTATCGATCTCATATATATCCTTAAATTCAGAATCTATCCAGATAAAGACTTCTTTCTATAAATAATAAATAAACGTAAATATTTGGGAAAATTCAATGACAGATAATAAAAAAATACTTACTTTAATTGTTCGATACATATTTTGATTCAAATGAATAGCATTGTCTGACAAGGACGAAGATGAATAGGTAGAAGATGATAAGGAAGATGAGGAGGTAGATTCTTGATCACTATCCATCATTGCCTACTTTGATTGCTTTAATTGAGAAGAGGAATTTGTGAAAAAAGATTTGTGAGCAAATTTATAGATTTCAAAGTTGTTGAGATTTGACTACACGAATGAGTAACATGAGATATGCGAATGAGTAACGCAAGATACGCGAACTTGATTTTGAAGAACTGCATGCGAATCTGATCTAAAAGAATAATTAAACGTTTATTTTATCTTACCAAAAACGCGAAACTGATTTTGAAATAAGAATTAAACGTGAAACTAATCTTAATCTTAAGGAAGAATTGAACATGTATCTGATCCTAAAAGAAAGGTTGAACACGAAATTGAAGAATTGAACGCGAACTTGTTCCTGATCCTAAAAAAGTGATTGAAGAACCTGATTTTGGAAAAATTGAATTGATAATTTTTTTGAAAATTTTTTAATAAGCGTACTTCATTTAAGTAATTGTAACCTTAACTTTCTTAGCTATTTCATAAAATACAAAATGAATAATAAAAAAAGTAAAATTGAAACCTTTAACTCCGTGTCTGATTTAGTAAAACACAAAAAAAGTAAAATTGAAACCTATACCTCTGTTTCTGATTTAGTAAAACCCAGGAAAAGTAAAATTGAAACTTCTGCCTCCGTGTCTGATTTAATAAAATCCAAAAAAACTAAAATTGAAATCTCTACCTCTGTATCCGATTTAATAAAATCTAAAACGGCCAATTCAATAAAATTAAAAAAACCAAAAATGGCCGATTTAATAAAACCCAGAAAAAGGTATTTGTATCCATGCCATTGTATTCGTTGTGACAGCGCAGAGGTTGATTTTCGCACTCAAGAAAATCATACAAATGATGAAAGTTTGTGGAACTCAGAGGATACTAGGAAAAATCAGGAAGATACTATTACAGCGAGAAAACAAAAAAGATTAATCATTATTCAAGATGTAAACCTTACAAAAAAGCGAAAAAGGGCATCAAGTTCTAATCTTGATTCTTCCCAACATAATAGTGGCTTTAATCCTTTCAATGAAGATACTGATTCATTCCAACCAAATAATAATGAAAACATACATACATTATTTTCATCATCACCATTATTGCCAAATCCTTCTTATTTTCATGTTCCAGCACCTGATGAAAATAAGGATAACGATGAATATATATATTACAATGAAGAAGAAGAAAATGATGATAATGAGGATGACGGTGATGAGGATGACGGTGATGAGGATGATGGCGATGAGAATAATGGCTCTGAAAATAATGGTGGTGAAGATGAAGGCGATTATAATGAAGAAGAAGATGATGATGATGATGGAGATGATGAGGAGGAGGAGGAGGATATAGAAGAATTTTTTTCATCTCCTGAAATTGGTAATGATGAAGTATTTGTGATGGAAAGTTTAAATGATTCTATAGAAACCGAAATTATTCTATGGGTATTCAAATTTCAACAAAGATTTAGACTTCCAGATATAGCACTTGAAGTATTAATAAAATTCTTACATATTGTACTTACTCGTTTAGATAAATCACAATTTAAAAATTTTCCAGCATCCTTATATCTTGCAAAAAAAATGTTAAATATCTTTCAACCAAAAATGCAGTTAGCTGTATGCAACAATTGTCATAAATTGTATAATGTTAGAAATATTGTTGAATACAAAGAAAAAGGAAAAGCTGCTATTGCAAATTGCCTACATGAAGAATTCCCAGATAATCCAGTACCTAGTCGTCGTAATAAATGCAACAATCCACTTTCTATTCTTAAAAAAAGAAAGGGTAAAATAATTGCTGTACCTCGTATGATTTACCCTAAACCAAGTATTCGTCAGCAATTAAATATGTTATACCAACGACCTGAGTTTGAAGATATGCTGGAATTATCAGGAATTCAAAAAGGAGGGGTTAATACCTATTCAGATATTTATGATGGTAAGGTATGGAAAACTTTCCCATTTAATGGTGATACCTTCTTTACACCAGAAACTGCGACAACACACCTGGGCCTTCTCTTTAATCTTGATTGGTTTCAACATTTCACCTATACTCAACACAGTGCTGGTGCTATTTACGCGTCTATCTGTAATCTTCCGAGAACAGAAAGAAATAAACCCGAAAATATTATTTACTTAGGTTTTTTGCCAGGACAGAAAGAAGTAGGGTTGGAACGTATTAACCATTATTTAGCCCCTATTGTGGATGAGCTTTTAGAACTCTGGAAGGGCTGGAGAGTTCCAAAGACCTACCAATATACTGAAGGTTTAGACATAAAAGTTGCATTAATTATTGGATCATCAGATACACCAGCAATACGAAAGTTATTTGGGCATGGCTCAGCAGTAATAAAATGTCATATGTGTGAAAAGCGTAGTACTTATAGTGAAGTTTATAAAAAAACTCATTATGGAGGAATGCAAGAATATGATAAATGGATAACAAATCCCATAAATCCTTCATTACATAGGCAATATGCTCATGAATGGTTGCAATGCAATTCGAAGTCCTCCAGAGATACACATTTTAAAGAACATGGAGTAAGGTGGAGCGAGTTGCTTCGCTTACCATATATAGATCCCATAAGATTTGCCGTAGTGGATCCAATATATTGTCTTTTTCTAGGTATAGCAAAATGGATAATCAAATCCATTTTCATTAATCAAAATAAGTTAAGCATGGAGCAACTTCGAATTGCACAAAAGAAAATGGATTATATTGAATTACCTTCTGATATCGGTAGAATCCCCCCAAAGATTGCAATTGGAAATGAAGGTTTTTCAAATTTAACTGCTGATCAATGGAAAACCTTTATTATGATTTATTCCACGCCTATACTATGGGACATGCTAGATAATAATGATAGAAAGATCTTAGGACATTTTGTTCGAGCATGTAATCTTTTAGTAGCAAGATTTATTACAGAAGATGATCTGAGAGAAGTGCAAGAGAGGTTGAAGGACATGGCTCATCTTATAGAAAGAACATATGGGCTGGAATTTATGACAAGCAACATACACCTTGCACTTCATATTCCCGACTTTTGTCGTGACTATAGTTCCATATATAGTTTTTGGCTTTTTCCATATGAGAGACTTAATGGATATATTGGTAAGATGTTTGTTGTTATATTAATATTTTTTAAAAATAAAGAATACAAATAAATCTATTATTATTATCCAGGATCATACCCTAATAGTAATCGACAAATAGAGCCTGAACTTATGCGAATCGTTCTTAAGAATACTTTAATAGATTATTATTTATCTTATAAATGATCATCTGGTTTTCTAAAAGAATCTTTTAGTCTTATTATGCCAGAGAAAGCTGTGGGTAGTTTGGCATTTACGGCAGAAAAGGATGAGTTACAACACTTCTTGTCCATGAGACATAATATATCTACGTTTTCCAAAATATATGGTACTGAGAAATTACCGGGTCAAATGCTTAATCCTTCATGTTTCAAAGTTATTATACCTTTAGTATTGCGTAGATTTCTATGTGAATGGTATTCTATATTATATAAAAAAGAACAAAATGAAATATTAGGATTTATGGACCTGGTAATTGATCAACACGCAAGATTACAAATTGGTGCTGAAATATTTAGATCTATGATTTCAGGTCATCAAGAAAAAAATGTAACTATTCTTGCAAAATGGAAAGCGTCTAATGATGATTCAGTTGATATATACCCAGGAGATGTTCAATATTATTTTGAAAATACACTTAGATTACCTGAAGGACCAAGAAAACATCTTCTAGCATATGTTAAGTGGTATTGTTATCCTGTCAACGATTAAAGCCGACTGAAAAACTTTAATGCTCTAACAGGTTAACTGGAGTTTAACTTAATAGGAGAGTCTTAAGTTGATCACAAATAATCACGTGAAATAACGTTGGATGTTCAGTTAAAGAAAATAGGTTTTTATTAAAATAATGTAAGATTTTAGATACGATGAAAAATATAGATAATCTCTTGGTTGCGAAATTAACTATCTTGAATTATACTACTGGGAATAATACTCTTTTCGTATAACTCGAAAACTACAATACAATTCTTAACTAACTAACTGACCTCACTAACTGACCTCCTCCTACTTGGTAAAATCCTATCACTATTTATAATAAAATAAAAATCAAGAATATTTGATAAAATAAATAAAACAAATATAATAAATAAATAAAATAAAATAAAATAAATAAGATAAAATAAATATATCAAATAAATAAAATATAACAAATAAAATAAATAAAATTAATAAAATAAATAAATCAAATATATCAAATTTATCAGATTTATCAGATTTATCAAATAAATCAAGAAAATCAAGAAAATCAAGAAAATCGAAAAAATCAAGGGATCTACAAATGATCTACAAAATTGATCTACATAAAATTACTGCGCCACATTTATATTTTAACACTTTCTCCCCCTTAAAGAACGAACTCCTGTGAGTCTTTAAATTTCCAATACCAATTGCTTAATTTCATTTTGTTTTAAAGATCTAATCAAATTAACAGTAGTATTAATAGTACAATAAATTTGAGTAGGACTTGTTTCAAAAATATAATAAACACGAACAGAAATCCAATAATAATGTTCTGAAACTATTTGTCTAACTTGTTTCTTTGTTAATTCTTTTTGTTCAATAAGCTGTCCTAAGAAATATGCGAAAACTAGAGCTGGAATTCTTTGTTTTAGTCATTGAGCTCTTAACAAACATCGGTAAGTCACATGAATTTTTGTTTTATCCTCCATTTCATCTGAATAAGGTTCGTCTTGTAATTCGTGAGAACTATTTCCTTCAATTAATAGGTCTTGTAACACAATTTCGTAAGGCGTCATGATGAGAAAAAGTGAATCATAACAAAATAGAACGCGTCTTTAAATAAGAATTTCATTGTCGCACTTAATTAATTAATATTATTAATGATCAACTACTAATTTCAGTAGATCGCGACATTATTGTTCCACTAATTTAGTTTGATTGATTTTACCCCTTAAATTAGTTAATCGTGTATTACTATTTTAAAACATTTCTCCTTGTTCTAAAAATAACTTTTTCTTCTTCTTAATTATTTCCACGTGTAATAATTATCAGCTGTTATTGAATTTTTTTCGCGTCATTTTTGTTATTTCATCTAGAGCATATTTTCTCGCGTCATGTTTTTTTCTTATTTAAGAACCTAATTTTTCCTTTCCCCTTGTCTTCACTTCTCCGCAAAATCTTTTTGCATATATCACCTTTATTAAAACTTACATATTTTTTCTAACATCCTTATTATTAAAATGGGCTGCCGTCGATCAAAAACATCCCAAAAAAAATCACAAGCGCGCTTTAAGGTCTTGAAAGCTGCTCGTAAATCACAACTTCGTCAACTTGAGGGTGAGTATTGCACGCAAGGTTCTTAAAATGTTTCTTAAACGGAGATAGCCTGCAGACGGGGTTTCGACCTTTATCCGGTTCTTGAACAGTTGATTTCTCTGGCTCTTTTCGACTTGCAGACGGGGTATTTATACCTCCAGGATATCTAGTCTTGAATGGACTCCCCCTGTAGAACTTTTTTGGGCTATCGATTTATTCACTTAGTCTTTGACTAACTTGGTGTTTCTACTTTTTTCATTTAATAACACAAGATCAAGTTCAAACGTTTCAGTCTGAAAATGATTCCTTACAAGCTGAAAATAATTCCTTACAAGAAGAAGTTGCAATTTTGACAAAATTTGGGGTTTTACAGTCCGTACAAATCCATCAACAAGTAGAAGAAGCGCAATCTAATAATGAACTGTGGGCTATCGCCCAAAAAGAATGTTGGGAGGCCCAGAAAAAGGTTATTCAACAAGATAAAGAAATTGTCAGCTTAAAGGGTGAAGTAAAATAACTGAAAAGGGAGAATAAAAGCGCTATATATAGTACAAAATATTTTGAAACTAAATATTATCACGCGATGAGTGTTATACAAAAATATGGTATGATTGTTGTTGATGATAATATGCCCAAGTCTCCTTCGCCTATTCCTTCATCTTCATCTTCATCTTTTTCCTCTTCTTCTTACGATCAAATATTTGTTGCTGATAGTCCTGATTATATTAATGATAATAATGATAATAATAATGATAATGATAATACTAATAATAATGATAATAATAATAATGAACAATAATATTTTTTTCTAATAAAACTTTTTACTATTTTCAAATTATAACTATTGGTTCCAATCTTCGCTCGTGATATTTCTTAAGCCTATTTCTATGAATTACATGTTTAACTAATTTTCCATCTAAATTTCTAAGTTTATAAACATTATCATTAAGTACTTCATAAATAAAATAAGGTCCTATCCACTTATTTTCTAATTTTGCTGAGAAATTATTTTTAAGCCACGTTCGTTCTACTAAGACTTGATCTCCTATCTTTAATTTTTCTGAAATTCCTTGTTGACCATATACTTGTTTTTGCTTCGCTTGTTCTTTTTCAATTCTTAACGAAACATCATTTCGTTCTTCCTCTAATTCAACTATTAATTGATAAATTCGTCTTTGCATTAGGTCTTTTTCATTTTGAGGTATTTGTGATGGAATTTTTAAATCAATTGGTAAAGTTGCTTCTCATCCATAAGTTAAATAGAATGGTGTTTTTCCTGTAGTATTGTGTTTTTTCGTTCGATATGCCAAAAGCACTGCATCAATTAATTGATCCCATTCCTTATTATTATCTTGAACTAATTTTGCAATACATTCACCAATTGTCCGATTAAATCTTTCAACCATTCCATTTGTTTGAGGTCTATAAGCTGAGGTAAGGCGATGCTTAGTTTGATAATTTTCACATAATTCATCAATTAATTTATTCATAAATGATGTTCCTCTATCTGATAGAATTTCTTGTGGAACTCCATGTCTACAAATAATTTCTTCATAAATAAATTTAGCTACTGTTTCTGCTTTAATATTAGATATTGCTCTTGCTTCTGGCCATTTTGTAAAGTAATCCATGGTAACGATAATATATCTATTTCCACTACTGGTGATCGGTAATGGTCCTTTAATGTCAATTCCTATCCTGTGAAATGGTCCCTTAACTGGTATTGGTATCAGTTCTTCTCGACGATTAGTAGGTCCTCTTCTTTGACAAATATCGCAAGTTTTTACATATTCTTTTACATCTTCTCCTAATTGTGGCCAATAATATCGATCTTTGATTTTTCCAATTATAGCATCTATTCCTAAATGAGCACCACTTATATCTGTATGAAAGTGATATAAAATAGGTTCTACTTGTTCACGTAGAATTACTTTTCTTATACCATCCTTTGTTTTTCTAAATAAAATGTTGTTTTGATAAATATATTGGGTTGAGTTTTTCCGAATTTGGGTTTTCCATTTATCCGTTATACCATCCATAAAAGTGAGAGTTGTTAAAAATAAGATTAATTCTTTATATAGTTGTTCATCCATGATCGTTATGTGAGGTTGAAGGATTGGTGTGATTATTAATTGAGGTTGAGTCAAGACGAGAGAATGCATCAGCATTCGCATATTTAGTTCCTTTCCGATATACAATATCATATTCATATTCTGATAAGACAATCTTCCATCTTTCCAATCTTTTATTATTATTTTCTGTTGTTGAGTTCAACAACCACTTGAGTGCTGCATGGTCGGTGATAATGGTGAATTTACTTCCATAAAGATAATGTCAAAAATATTTAACTGCCCATACAATTGCAAGGCATTCCAATTCTGTGATGGCATAATTCTTTTCTGCTGGTATTAAAGTTCGACTAGCATAGGCAATCACATGCTCTTGATCATCAGTTTTCTGTGCAAGTACTGCACTTAACCCTATAATCGAAGCATCAGTATATAAGAAGAAAGGTTTTGAAAAATCTGGGTATTGTACAATTGGTGCTGTTGTTAATTTATCTCTTAAATTCTCAAATGCCTTTTGTTGTAAATTCGTCCATTCATAGGGTGCATCCTTTTTTAATAACTTGTACATTGGATCAGCAACTTTAGCAAAATCTTTAATGAAGCGTCGATAATAAGAGAATAATCCTAAAACTTCACGTAATTCTCTAATATTTTGAGGCTCTGGATAATTAACCATTTTGTTAACTTTTTCTGGATCAGGTTTAACACCTTCTTTTCCTACAACATGTCCTAAAAATTGAAGTTCAGCTGCTGCGAAATGACATTTCTCTGCTTTTAATCTTAGATTCGCCTTACGAATTCTATTTAGAACTTCTTCCAAATGTTGAATATGATCTTTAAAAGTTTTTGAATATATAATGACATCGTCAAGATAAACTAAAACAAACTTCTCCTTTATTTCATGTAAAACTTTATCCATAGTTCGCTGAAACGTTGCAGGTGCATTGCAAAGTCCAAAAGGCATGACTTTGAATTCATATGTCCCAAATTTTGTAATAAAGGCTGTTTTTTCCTGGTCTTCCGCCCTTACTTTTATTTGCCAATACCCTGATGCTAAATCTAAAGTGGTGAACCATTGTGCATCTTGTAGAGAATCTAATAATTCGTCAATTCTTGGAAGCGGGTAATTATCCTTTTTTGTAATATCGTTAAGAGGTTTATAATTAACGCAAAACCTAAGTTTTCCATTCTTCTTTTTCACTACCACTACTGGAAATGACCAGGGGCTAGTTGAAGGTTCTATTAGCCCTTGTTCTAGCATATCATTAATTTCACTCTCAATAAATTCATTTTCCTTTGGTGCTGTCCTATAAGCTCATTTTTTAATAGGTGGCACTTCTTCAGTGATAATAATATGTTCCCCTTCTGGAGTTTATTTTAACTCTTGCAATGATTTAGCGAATAAGTCTTTATTTTTATCTAGTAATTGATGGAGTAATTGATATTGACTTTCCTCTAATTCTCCAATTGGAACAACTTTTTCTGGTTCTAATTGAATATTATTAGATACATCCAGACTTTCTGATTCTTGCTTCACGTGATAAATGTTCCAATCTTCTTGAACTATTTGACAATCATCACAAACTTCTTGATCTTCTAAGGTCTTACATAGACATTTTCCTGGTCCCTTACTATTAATTACGCCAGTACTATTGTGATTTTGTTGCTTAATATACTCTAAATACCCTGGGTGATATTTCCGATCATTGATTTGAAAAGTACTTTTGGTTATTTCTGTCTTATAAAATGGGACTGCTATGGTGTCTTCTAACTCATCTTCTAATTCTAGTTCATCTACTGGGTCAATGACTGTATATTTTGTTGGGTCTAATTTTTGAGAACATGTGACAGGAATTTTTTGTTGGATTCCTTCATATTTAATGGTGATGGTATTCTGTCCATAATCAATGTTTGCATTAACCTTCTTTAACCATTCGTTACCAAGCAGAACATTATATTCAGCTGAATTCGTAACTATCATATTAACATAGACTTTAATATCCCTCATTTGTACTGGAACTTGTTGAACCATTCCTAGTGGTAATGATTTTTGTCCTGTTACATCGATGATTTTAATATTCGTAGGTAATTCAATTCCTTAATTGACTTTATCTAGGAATCTTTTAGAAATAATACAACCTACAGCTCCTGAATCTATTAAGACATTAACGGGTTGTCCATATACAATAGCTTCTTCATATAAAGCTTCTTCGGCTCTTTCTTTTTGATTAAGATATGCTGGTTCTTCTCTAATCAATTGGTTAAGAATATCAGTATAATAATTAACTAGTATTGGGGTTAATTCATTATGTTTTGCCATAAATTGGAATTGTTCAAAAGAAGTAATTGTCCAAGCTCCTTGTTTTTCAGGTTCAGTTCGCTGTAACTCTTGATAATCAGGTACTTTTGTTAAATAAACATCACAATTAAAAGCTGGATCATTAAATAAAAATACACATTCATCTTTTTCAATATTTAATGCTGTTTCTTCTTTTGTTTCTCTAAGCACAGCTTGAAGAGAAGATTCACGATTCTCTACTTTTCCTCCTGCTACTTGCCATAAATTATACATTGTTTTATTTTTCTGTAGCCGTTTCGATAAATAAATTCTAAAGTTATTATATAAAATGTTGAGAATATATGTAGGTCTTTTTAACAGTTGAATTGGTTTTTCAAAAGGTCTGATTTCTTCTAATGGATCCTTCCAATTCACTCTTTTAGTACTAATTTCATTAGAGGGTTTTCTAAAATTCGCACTCTCCCCCTCCCGAGATGCGTTTAGTAGTTTAAACGACCATTATTTTGAAAACCATTATTGGTCCTATTATTACTATTATTATTATTTGATGGTGGTGACCTGCAATTCCTAGATACATATCCTTTTCTTTCACAATTGTAACAATCAACATTCCTTAAATCTCTTCCATTATTGTTGCGATTATTATTATTTTGTTGATTGTTTCTTTGATGACAGTTTTTCGCGATATGTCCAGTTCTTCCACAGACATAGCATCCTGAATTATTCCTGTTTTGATTATTATTGTTGTTATTATTTGGAGTAGGATTGGTTGGTTTAGTTTCTGTGCGCATTTGGCTTAATGCTGCAGTAATTCCTTCGCTGATTTTCCGTTCAACCATCTTTTCTACACTTTCTGGTTAGGAATAACTCATCGAATAGGCAGGTTGATACATGGCTAAGTTGGTTCGAGCAGGGATCATTCCTCCATTCATATTTTGTAAATAACCTGGCATCATTGAATAAACTGATAGATCCATTCCCATTGAAAAAGCAGTTTCTAATGCTTGTGCTTTTTCCATTGCTTCTTCTACTGTTTGAGGCATAGCGGATTGTACAGGTACAATGAATTCAGGTCTTAAACCTTCAATAAATTCATGGATTTTATCTAATTCCATTCGTCTATCAGTGGAATCTACTCTTTTCCATAATTCTGTAATTGCTGCAATATATTCTTCAATTGTTTCTCCTTGTTTCTGTTTCCTATTTCGCAGTTGATGTTTCCATTGACTAATCCTGAAGGGATTACAGAAATGATCCTTAAATAAATGCGTAAATGATTGTTGAGGGCTATTATCATTCTCCCAAAAAATAATATTTTGACGATTGTACCAAGTTAGTGCTGTTCCTTTAAGATAGGATGCTACTAAAACAATTGCTCGTTCTTCACTAACTCTATTAGCTACACAAGCTCTACTAAAAGCTTCAATCCATCCGACAGGATTCTGATTTCCTCCTTTAAAAACTGGAAAATCAACCAGTCTGGATTTTCTAGGTTCAACTCCTTTTGCGTAAAATTTTTGTGCCTGTTGAAAAAACTGGAACATGATCTTATTTTGTTCAGCTTCATTAATAGGAGTTTGTTCTTCTGGTTCCTCATCATCTTGTA